ACATTAAAACGAACATATTAAATTATTGTGTATTACCTGAGTTCGTGCATGTTCCTGAACATCCTCGCACTTTGCAATTTTAGGAAATTGCAACATATTGTCTACTCAGTTCATCAGTTTCTAAATCTGATTCTTCAGAGAGAGGCCATTTATCCGGCTCTTGTTTAAGCCAATTCGGCCGCTCCCACCATCTGCTCTGTAGCAATATTTTGGCATCGCACCCTCTAGCGGGAAGATCAGCTGGATTGCTTGATCTTGGTACATAATACCAGTCGTCCGGATTTGTGCATCTCCTTATTTCAGCTACACGATTGGCCACAAAAACACTGCAGTGGGAGTCATTTTTGATCCATGTCAGAACTACAGACGAGTCTCTCCAAAGGTACATTTGGCACTTTGTCAGTTTAAGAGCGTCAATGACTTCACGGTACAGCCGAGTAGCTATAAGTGCTCCAAGCTGTTGGTTTGTGCATTAGCACTGAAGGCGTAATGAGTAAGTTTCCTCAGGCACAGTTTTCATTAAAGAATCATAAGTCAAAAAAATTAACTACGAAATCTTCTCTACATATAATAAAACAAAGATTTTGTCTGTGTGTGTGTGTCTTTCGTTCGCGCTGCGCGTAAGCTAATAGACCCACGTCTACGAAATTTGGTACATAGGTGCATCCAGATAAGTGCCAGTGCACCTCGAAGCAATTTTTTCGAATTCGAATTCGAATTTTTTTATTTTATGTTTTGTAACGAAATCGAGTTATTTTGAGACATAATGGGCTATAGGAAAGCAAGATTTTACTCTACGCACTCCATTTTTACATCGTCATGAAATGTAGGCACTTAGCTATTTTACGAACTTAAAATAAATTTTGTGTTTGAATAAATCGATTAAATACGAATTTATTTAACAAAGGGAGCTTTAACACCTTTTCAACGAGATTTTTTCTAAAAAATTTTATTTTAAAAAATGTACAGTTTATTTTTCTTTGATTTTTGGACACGTTAAACTTTTATCCTTGCGACTGCTTTTACGAAAACAATTTTGGAAAAATGGTAATATTTTGTATTTAAAAAAATTTTTTTAAATGAAGCTTCCGAGTACACTTCTCGCATCTCACATCTTTAAAAATGTGATTTTGGCAACAGTTTTCCTTTCTTATTGTTGTTGATAGATTTTTGATGAAATCGCATCATTTTGAATATTTTCATTATTTTATAAATATGGGTTTGGCAACAATTTTTCATCTTATTTCTTATGTCACTGTTTTTTAGAGATTGGCATAGTTCGTTGGCATTTTTTTATATATATAATACATTTTTTATTGATGTTTTTATAAAGTTGTTCTGCAGAGTAAAATTGCGCGGCATTTTTTGTTTTTTTGAGTTTCTTTGTTATTTTTTGATTATTTCACTGTTTGTAAGATACTGAAAAGTTTTGCATGACTTTTTTTCATCAACGGAAAGTTGGTTAATTGTTTTAATAGTAATTAATATTTTGTATTAAGGGATATAGCTTATTTCATTGTAATTTTTGGTGCTACTTTGGTAGACAGTTGCACGGATTTTGGCGATTTTTCTTTTGGCGAGTAATACGACTTATGGTAAACCCGTTGCAGGATAAATTATTTATTGTAACCGATACTTTGTTGTCATTTTAGTTTTAAAATAGTGCGTTTTATTATGCATAAATTCCGTGCTTTAAATATTATTTATGGCTTCTAAATATTAAAAATCAATTTAATTTTGCATTTGTTTTAAAAATGATTTTATTATAAATGATTATTTAAATAATTTTAATTCTGTGCGTGATGTAATCAGCTCCCTGATTGGTTACAGAATATTTTTGCATTACCGCGCCATTTTAAAATTTTAATATTCATCTCTTCGAATTCCTCAGATTTCAAATGGAATAAGAAAATGTAAGTAGATAATTTTCTTTTACTTTATAATTATATACTTCAACTTTTATTAAAAAATTAATACAATGTTTTCAAAAATTCCTGAGATATTTATTGCCACATGTGTTTTAATGTTAAATAAATAAATCCTATAAAACTTATTTTAAAGTATTTAAATAATATTTTAATTCATTTAAACGTTGGTATCATATTTTTAATTCGATAATCAATTTAAGTAATATTTTAATCCAATTAAATGTTGGCGCAATGTTTTTATAGCGGTGTTTTTATTCTATTATATGAAAGTAATAATTTAACTTTACTTCAGCATTTTATACTCTTAGTAAATGTATTTACTTACATTTGCCAGCCATCTTAAAAAACAACGTTTTCAACAAATAATTAATCCATTATTTTTAACGATATTTATTTTTTTAAAGTTTCTAATACTTTACTATATGCGTAAAATACGTCAAAGCAGCATTTTTCAAGATGGCTGATGACTATAAAAACCGCGCCAATGTAAATCGCCAAAAATCTGTGCAACCGTCTACCAAAGTAGCACCTAATTTTTTTTTCTCTTGAAAATATAAGATAAAATATCATTAATTATACTTTGCTTTTTCAGAATTTTTTGTTTTTTGTATTCTTTTATGTTATTTATTGTTCATTTCACTGTTTTTAAGATATTGAAAAGTTTTGAGTGTTTTTTTAAGAAACAAAGTTCTTAACCTCCTTTATAAAATTTGAGTTCTTAAGATTTTGCAAAGGGAAGTTGGTTAATTTATTTATTAGGATAATTAATATTTGTATTAAAGGATATTGCTTATTTCATTGTAATTTTGTTATACGTAATAACTTTTTTTATGAAGCTTTTCTGCAGAGTAAAATTCTATGCAGTTTTTAAATTTAACGTTTGGTGTTCCCTTCAGCTATTTTTCCGGTGCATTTAAAAGCCAGACGAAGGCTGGCAGCGAAGCTGCTAGTTATTTAATAAAATAGGAGAATTTTGCTTAACTTAAGCATAACAAAAAGTAATAATCTTCACAGACATTAAAACACTGAATTATCGAAAAGGAGATAACTTACATACAAATATAAGTCATACATCTTCAAGCATACCTATTTAGGCAATAAGAAAAAAACAGGAACATACTTTGACACCGAACCTGAAATGAGAAAGTACTAATTGACTTAGACCTTTGGCCGTGATATAAGTATCTAGGGTGAAAATCGAATACACTGCACGTAGCTAAGGTGAAAGTTAAATATACTGCATTGCACGCGAAATTTACTTTCTCTAGCGAATATATATCTTGGCGCACGTTCGTTTTGTATGCCTTTCGAGTTTCATTATGCAAAATACCTAAATTTATGCTAACACAAGCAACTCTAATCTGGGAATAGTTACTTCTGTGGCAGGCGCTACTCTTGATTTAAATAATACCAATTGTACTGACGTTTTGCCGTTAAAATATGCACGTAAGAAAATGCAGCCGTCTATTGTCTCCTGTCTGGATATGTTTTCTTGATTTATACTAGTATTAATTTAAAATTTCACGATGTCAAGATATAATAAATTTCTCGTAATTCACATTATTTGAAGTGTCATCCTTTTGGGGGTAAGTTACTTTAATTCCATATTTTTTTCAGATCACACATTTCATCCTCCACGTTTTGGGTTATTGCGGTATCACATTTGGCACACCCATTTATTATTACAATAAGATACCTTACTAGCATCACTAAAAGAATGTAGAGAGATAGAGCAGTCATCGAAGGGTCCAATCACAAGCCTTCTTGAAATTTTACAATAATTCAAGAAGTGTAGTCTTTTGAGCCAAGCCTGAAATTCTCTTTCTATGCCTTGTGGAAGATTTTCATCCGAGGAAAGTTTCATCTTCCATGTTTTTTGCAGAATGAGTTTTGGAATAAACGTAGTTGGACTTTTAAATCCGATGGGGTCGAATATCCTCTGTAAGACTTACAGAAGAGATCGTTTCGTGTAGGCACTCTCCGAAAATGTCAAAGGGGTTAAATTGCAATAGATTTCATCATTCTCGGTGTCGCATGAGAGTCCCAGAATTGGAATGAACTTCTGATAGGAAGACATGCTTCTATTTTGAATGGTGCAGCAGTCCACCCTCTAAGGTCTAAACCTCCTGAAAACATTAGAGTTTGAGATTATTCTTTGAACTTCACTACTACTTCTTCGGTTTCGAAACTAGCTATATAATTATCGACATAAAAGGATTACTTCAATCTAAGTGCCGTTCCTCTTAAATCTTGTGGAGCATTATCGAAATGGTAAGAAATCGTTGCTGCCAACAGGAATGGACTCAAAATGCCGAACACGACACGACAGTGTCTGTAGGTAACAATCTCGGTTTTATTTGAATCTTTCCACCACAGGAATTTCAAAAAGTCTCTGTCTCTGGCACACAAACTGATTTGTAAGAAAGCTTTCCTCATATCGGCAGTAACACCATTTGCATGTTGCCGGAATTGTATCAAAAGGTTTGGAAGCATTTCTATTAAATTCGGCTCCTTTTCGAGGCAAGCATTCAAGGAATTCCCATTTTCATCTTTCAATGATGCATCGAATACAGGTCGCACTTTTGTAGTCAGACTGGAATCCTTGAATACTGTTGATGAGATAAATAGTGACTAGTATCACTATTATTCGGAGCTATTTCAATTATACCTTCCTCGTGCCAGCCTTTAATAATAACATCATATTCTTCGAAAAATCCCATCTTCTGCAGTCTTCGTGTATTGGCGAAAAGTCTTTTTTCCGCTTTATCTTTATTATCTTCAAGAATCCGATGACTATCCTTCCAAAGCAAACAGACTTCATACCTATTGCCCTCGATTACTTTAGTGTTTTCTAGGAAAAATTTGATCGTTTCACTTCTTAGTCTTCACTTCCGCCGGATCTTTTATGTCAATAGTCTCTAAATTTCATAGTTCTGTGAGATCCAAATAACAAAATCCGACGGCATCAAGCAAGGTATTTTGACTTTTCACTGGGCCTTGTAGGGTCCAACCCAATTTTGTTTCAATGGCAATAAGGTTTTTGTCAATTGGAATGATATTATTCGTCATCAACTATCCGGAATAGTCGGCTCCTATTAACAATCCGATATCTGGTGTATCTCTACCAGAATCACTGATTTTGATTTTATGTTCTCGAAGTGAACATATATGTTTGAGTTTCACTCTAGGAATGTACACAAAAATTTTGTCTTTATGTAAAACCGATAATTCGTAATTGAATTTATTTTCCGTCCCTTGTATTTCGATATCAACAATAATATGGACCTGCGATTCAGTTTCAACTCCAACAAATAAATTGTGGCTCAAAGTCTGTTGATCTAATGGGACTAAATCTAGTTTCTTCATTATGTCTTTCCGTAAGTAAGATCTTTGTGACCCACTGTCAAAAAGCGTTCTCACAAGTTCCTTTTTTCCATTATGGACAATCTTCACCATAATATTTTGGAGAAGACTTGTTTGCAGTTTTTGGTTAGACAATAAAGTCTCAGTCGTTTCGTTAGCTACTTTAAGTGCTTCCTTTCTTGAACTTCTGGAACCTTTTAGATCTTTGCACATCACCGTTACATGACGTTTGTTGCAAAATAGACACTTCACAGAACTTTTACACTTTTCGGCAGCGTGCCCAATTTTTAGGCAGTTAAAACAAGCTTTTTTCTTTCTTAGTAAATTTTTCTTATCTTCCAATGAAAGGCTGTGCAGCTTAAAGCACTCATAAGAATTATGTGTTTCCTTGTCACACCAATCACAAAAATTAAGCTGTTTCTTCTTTGAATCTCCTGCATAAATACAAGCTGCTGTGGCTAGAACCGAGTCAAATTTGTCTGGAGCAGAAAACCTTGTACGGGCCAACTGAAGACGCTTTTCACTTTCAACTTCAATTCGGAGAAAGTGCAATAAATTTTCCAAATTTTCAGCTGTGCAACACTTTCCCTACGCTGGCGAGATCGCTCCCATGCCCTCAAAATTTCTTCAGGTAGTGAAGACTCTACAAGGGAATACAGCATAGCTGCATAAATCTCACGTTTTACCCCCAACGTCTCCAAAGCTCTAAGTTGCGTCTCTAACTTATCATATAAGTTGGATAGAACCATATTTCCTTTTTTCCTAGCTTGAGCCAAAGCCAATTTTAATAATTCGCGAACATAGATTTCTACCAGTAATTCGTCTCGTGCAAATCGAGATTTTAGCTGCTTGATAGCTTCTTTATAATTCCCGCCTGAGGGAAGATAACTATCTATGAGCTCTCTCGCTGGGGATCCAACGATCGTTGCTTGTAATAGGTATTGAGATTTGTCATCGTCATCTATATTTACATCTTCGTGGATCTTCTTAAACTGTCTCCAAAATCCTAACCAATTTCGGGTCTCCCCATTAAATTTTTGAAGGTCCAACTTAGGTAATTTAAAGTTCCTTTTCGTTGAATTTTTTAAAGTTCCAGGTGTAATTACAGGAGTGGAATTCACCTTTTTGTTTTCTATTTTTGTTTTTAAACTGATATATTAATCACGATATGTTTCATTCGTGTCAAAATCAGCCAAATATTCACTTTCGTTTACACTTTTCAACAAAAGTTCGGAAATTTGTGACTGAACTTCATCTAATCTGTTGAATGATCCTTCCAACTGTGAGCTCAATACTTGGAGTTGATTAACTTCCACGTCAGGCTTTAGAATTTCAGCATCTAAAGCACTGGCAGTAATCGTAAACGATTGCCTTAGAGACTTACGCTTTCCTAATAAAAATTCCATGATTTTAAATTCAATATACCCAATATATTCAAATAATAAAGGATATAATCAAATAAATCAAAAACTCACTTGATAAATTCCGATACGAAATCGATGTTTCGTTTTCTTCAAATAGCCATTCCGTCGTGTCACCGGACGCCAGTTGTTTGAAATTAATCAATGGTTAAAATGCGGTTTAGCCCACTGCTTGGCAATTGTTTTTCAATGGGCAATAAACGAGCCAACATGGCTAACCCGATGTTTTGAAGCTGTGTTGTTATTCTGTTGCCACTAAATGTTATCGCCCTGTGTTATATTTAAAGAAATTAAATATTGAAAAATCTACATAATTTTTTCTCGCATTGTGATAAAACAACGGTACCTAGAGCCATCAAATTTTGAATAACTTACGTTTCCAACCTAATATCGGTATCTGGAAGCCCAAACTTGGAATTTTTTATTATTATCTGATTGATATTTTGTAAAACTTGAACGAAATTTTTGATTAGCAAACTCAAAGATTTCAAAGCGAGCAACGGCAACACAGTACGGAAAAAAAAGCATTTTTACGTGCAGAGTGCAAAACTGTGTATCGGAAATTCTAAAGATATGCTCATTTTAAAATTATATTACGACATTGCTGTTGAACTGAATTTTATGGTTTAAGTGTAAAGAACATTATATTTGATAAAGAAAGGTAACACACAAAACGTTAAAAAACGCCCCTTTGGGCGTAATGTAAAATCTAAAACCTTTCATTTTTTTTAAATTTATTTATTTATTTATTTTTAATTTTACTTGTTAATTCTGTTGCGGTTTGAATATTCTTATGCGATGGTTCTTTTTTTAATAGAGTGTTTTTCCCCCTGTGGGTTTTAGCCTTTTTTTTCTGCATATATTACGGAAACGGCGTATAAAACGTTAGTAAATTTATTTAAAGATGAGGAGGGATCCAAAAGGGTTTCCCCCTGAGATAAATTCATATATAAAACCCCTCAAAAAGACTTTAAATTTTTCTTGAAAAGGGTAAATGAAAAATTTTTCTTGTATGGTTCGTTTTAAAGTTGCTTATTTTTAATATTTTGTATTTCTTTTTGGCTCAATCCTAGAAGATTGGAAAAGTTGACGTTGTGCTATTCTCTGATTTTTTTTTTTAATGAAAATAGATCGATATGTATATGGGCAAAGCCAATGCAGTGCGCAATGCCGACGTTGTGCGCGATGCCGAGTATGTACAATTCTGGGATGTTTTCTTAAGTGAAAATAGATCGATGTGCACATGGGCAAAGCCAATGTTGTGCGCAATGCCGAGTTTGTGCAATTCTGGGATGTTTTTTTAAGTGAAAATAGATCGATGCGCACAATGTGGTGCGCAATGCCGAGTTTGTGCAATTCTGGGATGTTTTCTTAAGTGAAAATAGATTCATGTGCACATGGGCAAAGCCAATGTGGTGCGCGATGCCGAGTTTGGGCAATTCTGGGATGTTTTTTTAAGTGAAAATAGATCGATGTGCACAATGTGGTGCGCAATGCCGAGGTTGTGCGCGATGCCGAGTTTGTGCAATTCTGGGATGTTTTTTTAAGTGAAAATGGATCGATGTGCACATGGGTAAAGCCAATGTGGTGCCGATGCCGAGTTTGTGCAATTCTGGGATGCTTTTTTAAGTGAAAATAGATCGATGTGCACATGGGCAAAGCCAATGTAGTGCGCAATGCCGAGGTTGTGCGCGATGCCGAGTTTGTGCAATTCTGGGATTTTTTTAAGTGAAAATAGATCGATGTGCACATGGGCAAAGCCAATGTGGTGCGCAATGCCGAGTTTGTGCAATTCTGAGATGTTTTTTCAAGTGAAAATAGATCGATGTGCACATGGGTAAAGCCAATGTAGGTGCGCAATGCCGAGGTTGTGCGCGATGCCGAGTTTGTGCAATTCTGGGATTTTTTTTTAAGTGAAAATAGATCGATGTGCACATGGGCAAAGCCAATGTGGTGCGCAATGCCGAGGTTGTGCGCGATGCCGAGTTTGTGCAATTCTGGGATGTTTTTTTAAGTGAAAATAGATCGATGTGCACATGGGCAAAGCCAATGTGATGCGCAATGCCGAGGTTGTGCGCCGATGCCGATGCGCGATGCTGCCCGATGCGCAATTCTGGGTTGTGCAACTCTGAGATTTTTTTTTTAAGTGAAAATAGATCGATGTGCACATGGGCAAAGCCAATGTGGTGCCGATGCCGTGTTTGTGCAATTCTGGGATGCTTTTTTAAGTGAAAATAGATCGATGTGCACATGGGCAAAGTCAATGTGGTGCGCAATGCCGAGTTTGTGCAATTCTGAGATGTTTTTCAAGTAAAAATAGATCGATGTGCACATGGGCAAAGCCAATGTAGTGCGCAATGCCGAGGTTGTGCGCGATGCCGAGTTTGTGCAATTCTGGGATTTTTTTAAGTGAAAATAGATCGATGTGCACATGGGCAAAGCCAATGTGGTGCGCAATGCCGAGGTTGTGCGCGATGCCGAGTTTGTGCAATTCTGGGATGTTTTTTTAAGTGAAAATAGATCGATGTGCACATGGGGAAAGCCAATGTGGTGCGCAATGCCGAAGTTGTGCGCGATGCCGAGTTTGTGCAATTCTGGGATGTTTTTTTAAGTGAAAATTGATCGATGTGTACATGGGAAAATCCAATGTAGCGCGCAATGCCGAGTTTGTGCAATTCTCTAATGTTTTCCAAGTAAAAATAGATCGACTTGCACATGGACAAAGCCAAGGTAGTGCGCAATGCCAAGTTTGTGTAATTATCTGAATTTTTTAATCTTATTTAATTGACTTCAAATTGTATAGCAGGCTTTTCTATACACTGTTTCTGGTATGCATAGTGACTGATATCTCTTTAAGAAAATATGTATGCACGCAAATAAATTTTAACAAATGAATCCTTCGCATGAATCATGCATTTTGCGAGAAATAAACTTCCATGTTGAATGAAAATGTTGTAAATTTCTACGAGGTTTAAACCTCTCGCATTTGTTGTAAATTACACGTAGCGTTTAAGCGAAACTAATGGTATTTTGTGTTTTAAACTTAAATTTCAGATTTTATTTTGTTTTTTAATTTCATTATATTTGTTGTCTTTTTCTAATTCCCTATCGTTGACAATATTACTTATCGTAGCTTTAGATATCGAAAAGCCATGGCTTTCGCAGCGTTTTTTAATAACTAGATACGAATAAATTTCTTCGGAGAGAGCACAAATGTCCGAAGACAAATTGTCAAGTAGCAGACGATAATTTATGCTTTCAAAAATATATACTTGCAGTTAAAAAGTATTTCCAAGCAGACGATTTCTTTTGGAATTTTTACTTCGTAATTTGAGCAGTTAATTCAGTTTGAATGTTCTTATTTGGTAGTTATCAATCGAGTGGTTTTATCTGTGTGTTTTTGCTATTTTTCTGCATATATTTCGTTAAATAACAGTCGCTATGGATTTATCTGTGATGCTGAGAGAGGTGAGCGATTGTACATGTAAATTTATTACTTTATTGGAAGTGCAAGGGAAACGTGCCGTCATTGAATGGCGTATGAAAGTTGGTTTGATTGTTACTTTTTTTGTTTGTTCGAAATGTAATGAAAATATGCGTTTTTGTGAGAGAAAAGGAAGTATAGATGGATTTGAATGGCGATGTAGAAAGCAAGGAAAAGTGAATGCGTATGATGTTTGTAGGAGTATAAGGAAAGGTTCATGGTTTAGTCATAGTCATTTGAGTCTATGTGATATTTTGAGAATTACGAGGTGTTGGTTTTTGAAAATGGGAAATGAATCTGTGATTCAAGAAGTGAAAGTGCATGAACATGCTGTTGTTGATTGGTTTATGTTTTGCAGAGAAGTGTGTATGACGACTGTGATAAATGATAGTGTTCCAATTGGTGGTGAAGGAGTAATAGTTGAAGAGGATGAGAGCGAATTCGGGAAAATGAAGTATGGAAGAGGAAAGCCTGTGGACGGTCATTGGGTAATTGGTGGTATAGAGAGAGGAACGAACAGATGTTATTTTAGAGAGGTTGAGAATAGATCAAAGGAGAGTTTGGAGAGAGTGATAGTTGAATGGGTGTTGCCGGGATCAACTGTGGTTTCAAACTGCTGGAAGGCACATGGTGGACTATAAAATTTAGGTTATGGCCATCTGACTGTCAACCACATTCTGTACTTCCGTGATCCCGAGTCGGGTGCGCACACTAATTCCATAGAAGGTACCTGGTCTGGAATCAAACGTCATTTACGTTGAAATACAAACCACGTAGATGGCGAATTTGATTTATATTTAGCGGAATATATGTGGCGAAAATGGCAGAACCACTCACTAAGTGATGAACATTATCGTGCCCTTTTTAGCGGCAATCATAAAGATTTATCCGCCGGAAACGGCCGATAAAACTGAGTAAATTTTCATAAAGACGGGGTTTAGGGAGGTTTTCCCCCGACATAAATTAAAAAAAAAAAAAAAAAAAAAAAAGACTTTATTTTCCTGAAAAGGCTAAGTGAAAATATTTTTTCTTTTTAAAATTGCTTATTTTTAATATTTTCTTATTTTCTTTCACTGTGAGAAATTAGATTTCTTAAATTTATTAATGTGTAGAATTCTAATATGAGAGTATAGAACGTGGTTTAGGAACTTAAGAAACAGGGAAATGAAAGCTGTGTATGATGTTGATATTCAATCATAAATATTTTTCTTTTTTTATTAATGTAAAGCTTAAAAATTTTTAGAAAATAATGAAGATTGTTTACTTACTAGTATGTAAGAGATGGTGTCGTTACGTAGCAATAAGGTAATTTTGTAAAGATGATAAGTTAAAATGTTCCGCAATATGAAATTAAAATTAAATAAAAATCTGTTTTTATTTGTATAAATACTAAAGCTTAAAAATATTCACCCTGTATGAGAGACTGCGACGTTGTTTATAGTTTTAATAATTGTTACAATTCACTTACCGTATTATAGTAATTTGAAATACAAAAAATTTA